GGTTGAACGTTGAATAAGGGGTTGAACGTTGAATAAATATGGTTGAACGTTGAATAAATATGGTTGAACGTTGAATAAATATGGTTGAACGTTGAATAAACGAGCTGAATTGAATATTGCTACATTCGGCTTGCCATAATTTATCCTTTCGGGAAGAAAATATTCAATTAGATAAACAGCTAGTACAGGGATGGAAGTAAAAAATTTGGCAAATTGTTAGACTTATTGAAATGTTGTACTACTCCAAAGAGATGGCATTTTCCTGTAATTGCAAGACAAAAATAATTGAAAAACAATTCTAAAAATATATATATATATATTTAAAACATACTCTTTAAAAAGTCCTAGAATCATTTAAAATATCTTTCAATGCCATTAAAATTTATAATTTCTCCATTCCGTTCTGTCCCCACGGTGCATGCGCAAAGCATTGACTAAATAAATATCATAAGAATAGATAATATTTGTGATAAGGATTATCAGAAGAACTGTCTCAAGTTAGGCGGTAAAATAACTGAAATAGTCCTTTTTTTACGAAGGTAGAACTTCATGTACCTAGTGCCTATAAACCTCTTGCCCTTGCCATTAATATTGATTCGAATTTTTGAATGTTATTCTAATTGTCTCGCTCTCTTCCTAAGATCAACAGAATCACTCAAGTGTATAGTTTTTTTCATGTGAAGCCACGCACGAAAGATATCGCGCTAGCCATATCAATAGTACACTAACTACAGCTAAGATAATTGAGGCACATACCGAGCCGTTTACTAAGTTTTTCGACATGGAAGCGGTCATCAACGTGGATGGAAAAGACCACGTCTATGATCATGACAAGCCACCAGAGATTGTAGTTACAGAACTTACAGTCTTACAACCAAGACAGCCGTCGTCTTTCGAGAGAAGAGTCAAAAGCAAGCACCACAATGGTCAAGACAATGCTCAACCTGTTTCATGTGAAGTCATAAAGTGGTCTTTGAGTGGCGAAGACAGATTGAATGTCCAAGTGACAAAAAGTCCTCGAAGTTCTTTGAAGAGAGAGCAAAAAGACAACGAAAGTGACAGCAAAACAGTCCTGAAAACGCCTTGTAAACTCAAGGATTTGACAGTCGATGAAATTTCGSAATGTCTCAGAGAAATAGGCCTGGAAAGGTACGTCGAGAAGTTTCGTCTTGAAGGTATTAATGGTAAACTATTCGAAGGCTTGGACGAAGAYTCTCTCTTAGAACTCGATGTTGAAGACCAAAAACACCAAGAAAAGATACTAAAGCTTGCTAAAGAAAAAGAGTATCGACCGAAAACTCTAAAAGTTGAATTTAGCAGAGGTTAAATCGATCACAGCAGGTCTTGTTTTAAAAACAAAGTTGTACATCATCACTATATATCCACAACAATACTTTGTATCTTTATCTAAGAGAAAAAACGAAGTCGAAATTCTATGAATGGTAAATTCTATAAAACTGTCTTTGAGTGTATCAATCGCTAATTACTGTTATTTTCATAAACTTGCGAATTCGTTACCTGCGAGCTGTAGCTGTAATTTGTTTTTTCGCTGCCGTCAATCAAACCCAATCAGTTGGTGCCTTTCATATTTTAGACTGATGGCAGCGAAAAAAACAAATTCCAACAGGTGGCGAATCTTAACTACAGAGTTCGCATGTTTRTGTAAATAGCAGTAAGAGCTTGAGAAGTGACTCACACTCTAGAAAGAGTTAGAAACTTCGAGGTCTTCGGATCAGTGGTGTATAACACTGACACTGGAATGCATTTAATCATCTGCGATTAAAAGTGCTATGAATTTTATAACAAGTGCTTTTAGACTTTCGCTGTCATTTTGTCACGAGATGAAAGCGATACCTATTGTTATATCTATAATACAGAAAAGAAAATATAACAATCTGTAACTTTAACAGAGGGTATTTCATTATTTGTAATAAAAATAAAAAAGTATTACATGCATAATTAGTTGAATTTACTAATTAATCATTGACATTAATTAATCATTATAACATAGCCACGATAYATCACGCGCTCTGATTGGTTAATTAGCGTGCGCGAGCGTGCATCCAGAAATGGATGGTGCGCGCTRACGTGATTGATTAGCGGCAGCTAATTAATGACGATTTTTTTTGATAAACAAATATTTTTTTAAGGTTTTGCTATCGTTATAAAACCAATGTTCAAATCTTATTTGTGCGTACATCCAGTTCTGGATGCACGAAGAAGGCTGCTTAAGCACTYAAGAAGCTAGAGTTGCACTCGGCTASGTCTCGTGCGACTCCTACGCTTCTTTCGTGCTTAGCTACCTCCCTCGTGCATCCAGAACTTGATATACGCAAGCTAAGCTTGCTTGCTTTGAGAGAACCAACATTACTGCAAATCATCTCACAGATGACACAGATCTACGGACACATCGTAKACACCGTAAGCAACCAAAATAAATGCTATTCAAAAAACAATTGACCAACAAACTGGCAGACTTATACTACTTGTTGACGTGCTCAATCTCGCGGCTGATGACGTCACCTCGTAACACTTGCGTCCTTCTCGCCTATCAACTGCAGAAGCTGCAGTCTCGCAGTCTAAATCCGTTGATATCGATGCCTGCGTCTCACTTGATTAATTCGCGTAAACRAGAAAATAGGAGTGACGTATTTCCGAGTCCATCTTCTTACAAAAACCTCTAAAATAAAACGAAAAAGGTCCAAATGATTTAACTTCCATCTGAAACAATTAGAACTTTGGACAACAAACCCTGTCTTGAAGAAAAAATAAGGAAAATCTTTATACTCGGAAGTCGCTGTACCATATGATTGACGTCACGCTTAAAAGCTCTGTATAGGTATTATTTATTCGAAATCTTTTTCAAAATGGTTCTGTTTTATTATTTAGTTTTTAATTCAGGTATAACACAAGCAACTGAAATTATGTCTTCAAATGTCTACAAATGCATGATAAATACAGAATGCTTTATACTAGCTAGTCTGCATGCTTAGCTTCTATAGAAACAAAACCGGAATATTGGCCAGAACTGGGGCAAATGATGTTATGCATATTTTTTTTAAATACACAAATAAGTACCAYTTTTATCACCTCGATCCACTCCGCTAATATGTAGGATTCAGTATTCAGTATTTTTTTGAAAGGATCGTACCTTTCCCCATGGTTGTGTCATAACTTCTGACTTTGTATTTACAAGGTCTTTTGCATCGAGAACTAAATGTAATATTCATCATGCTGGCATAAGCACTGGACCAAAGATAATTTGACTGATTGGTTATGCMATTCGAGCATAGAAAGGAAGTAAATACTTTAACATCATCATAAAGAATAGTTCATAATGGYAAGTACAGTCGATTCAGGACTAAAGAACAACAGCTCTTTGACGATAGAAAAAATTGGCGCTTATTTCCTTCCTAAGGTACATTGCCTTTGAAAGAACTAAAATATTAACGATGTTCCGATCAAATACCATGTCAGATATAAGCAAGATTAAATGGAGCAGTGAAGAATATTCTTTAGGGATGTTCGTGGATCACTTTCCTCTGCCTCAAGTTGTTCGCATTAAAACGAACCTRAAAGGAAACAATGAAAGGAAAGGACAACCGGTAAAGATGTTATCGAACGATGTCTTTGTTCTGCATTGCGAAAGACATAAAGAGGTAATTCGTGCTACTGATTCTCTGAAGAATGAGTTTTATCTGCCACACGACTCCACCGCCAAAGTTGAAGTGATCTGGAAAGATTATAACAAGTTCTACGACAATGTAGGCGAGCTGTTCGACCATTTTCCCGCGCATGTGCTAGTGGTTGAAGAAGATGAGACTTTGGGAATCAAAAAAGGCGACGTTCTYAAACTTAAAAAGAAGGTAAAGGATCGAGAAAACAATTATCTGAAGTGTGCTTTTCTGGATGGAAATCGCGCAGATGTGGATATCCCTTTCAGTTACAAAGGGGTTTTTAAGACTCTTGGAGATCTGACATCTGAAAGCATCCCCCTTAAAGAGGCAGTCGAGTTTTGCAGGCTTCCTCGAAACGTGAAATTTATCGGCGATAAACTTAAAATCAAAAGGATTTATGGTACATCCAAGAGCCCCRCATTGTTAAGCAGTTTGGAACGCGTCACGCTACACGAAGTTATAGACCATCKTGACGTCATAGCGAGCCAGGTTTCAGACGGGCAAGTCGTTGTAAGTTCAATTCCTCTTGTTGAGGACGTCATTGTCAACGCCGCGACAGCAGAATCAAAAGGCGGTCCAGAATATACTCGCCTTTGTCAAATAATTGATAGGAAAACTACAGCAGAAATGGTGAAGGAGATTGGCGTCTTGCATCAGCACTGGGTTGTGTTCCAGGAAGATGGCACCAAAGGTCCTTCCTCTTGGAATCACCAGCTCTTTAGCTTGGCTAGTCTTGRGTATCAGGACATTCCACACGTTGACGATRACAATGCGTCGGTAACAACTGGCGTGAGCWTTCATGTGRATAAAGAWSCACCCTTTCTTCCTCCTAAAATTTCAAAGAAACAGAAACCACCGCCTATTCCCCCAAGAATTCCTTTACAACCGTACATGGGACAAGGTCGTCGCATTTTAACACCTCCTCCTATACGGCGTGCCGCTAGCGAGCGGRAAGATGCCGGCTCGTTTCCTAATTCCTCCATCATGAAGTCAAAAACCCTCCCAAGAACRTTTCCTAGTGAACCAAATAAGAAGGACGAGCAACGAGCCCCATATCAAACTAGAGGGGGTACACATCAAGATGTGGGTAGGATAAATGAGAGACTTGACATTGATAACCYAGAAGGAGAAGGTGGGTATGTCAAGATGGCAAGTGTAGCACCCCATTTGCCAACCAAATACGAAATTCTCTGTGAGTCCACTCACAAACAAGCTCAACCAGATTATTACAACTTCACTAGTGATCGAGGAAGCCAAGGACACCAACTAAACCCAAATGAGTTAAAATCTTCAAAAAGAGAACGAYCAAGGTCGCATATAGAAGAAACTAAATCGGAAATTAAAAAAGATCATATGGAACACAAAATGCYTTCTGATACCACTCAAATATCTTATGATTCAGAAGATGTCCACCTTAAAATCAGATATGAAAAATCGGGGGAAAGTCGTAAGCTGTACTCAGAGGTCCCATTCATGATGGTAAAAGCTGATCGACACAACAAACTGCCGTTTTTTAAATGTCCTCAAAAGATGCCAAAGGCTCCGCCCGGTTTGGATTTCATCAACAGCAAAAATGTAAAAAGTTGGAGCCCGCTTGAAGTTTTGAAGTTTCTCAAGTTTCTCAACCTTGAGAGGTATGAGAAGGCGTTCAAACAAAACAAAATAGACGGAGAAATGCTGCTCAATTTGGATAAAAGACTATTGCATGAACTGCGTGTCACAGACTCACATGCGGCTACTATTGTGAAACTTGTTCATGAATGCATCAAACATGAGAATTCTACGATACCTAACCAATATGTGCCGTAACCTTCACATTTTATCGATACCTTGAAAATACCTCTGRGCTRATCAAAGTCTGGGCAATGCTAACTCACARATCAAACCCTGAAACCACCTTTGGGCTGATTAAAGTCAGGGCATGGCTAAYTYACAGAATCKAATAAACATCGAACCGTAACATGCACCAACAGATTCCATRKTGGGCAAGCATCATTGARCTGAAGGTCTTGAAGAGAGGTAACTACAGTGAATAGTTCTACTGGGATGAGTTTCATGGGTGCATATGCACCTCTGTTCCCATCTAAGAGTACCACCTGGGAAGGGCATCTGTGAGATGTTACACCCGTATATCCATGATGAAAACATGCTTTTTCACGCCTATAGGTCTGCAAATAGAACAAATTACATTTCTTTTGCACCTCGAAAAATGGACTTGATGCATTGGGGCTGATACTTAGGTCACTGAAAACAATAACTAGAATTGCCAAAATGCATGGATTATTATTTTCCGGTTTAAAAATAAGAAGTAAAGAATTCGTATGAAGTCTAGAAAAAAAAAACTKATATATATATAGTTTTCTTGAGTGTCCCCGCTGTGGGCTAACAACATCCATACCTTTTGTTTATCCAGACGCGTCGAGTGCATTCACAGGTAGCCCAAGCTTGGTTTCTGTGGTGTCCTGTTATAAGGAAATGTATGGAGATTCATCAAAAATTTCAATAAAATCATTGAAACGTGAAATAAAGCCTCGAA